TGGGTTGCCCCAATTTAAATCCATTCCTGAATACCTGTAACAGTGAATTCAAAACAGACTTGGTGGCCAACTATGACACTTTTTTTTTTAGGGGTGTCAAGTTGGTCGCAGGTTGAAGTAAACAGGTTCCTGCAGCAAGGCTCTGTCATCACTTGGACATGACAAGTTCAAGTCCTGATATAGTAAACTACAGCATTCAATGTTTATTTTTATGTTGCCTATGTGTTCTCCTTTCTCTTTCTTCTTCTTTCCATGAGTGCCAATCATTATATATTAAATTATACCCCCGTGTGGGTTCCGGGGCCCCATTGTGGGGAAAACAAGAATAGACCCACTGCCTCCCCAAAAGCATGTCGTAAGAGTCGACTAATTGGGGAGCTTCCTTTGAAGTCGGAGTGCATCTGCCGGAGAGGCAAGGAACCAACAGTCTGTATTCAAGAGAATGAGATCTGTAAAACTGATGCACACGCAACACTCAGGTTCTGGAGCGGGACTGCAGTTCAGTAGTGGACGATCAACCAGAACTTTCCGCCAGAGTGTACAGCTGGTGAACGCGAAGAAGAAGAAGAAGAAGATATTAAATTATCTATCACAATGTCATAAACTATCATTTTCAAACATGAAACTAGCTGCAGTAACTAACATGTCATTGCATCGGCTTTAGTCATTGCATAAAGTTCTGATGATATTGCATGGGGGGAAAAATTCAAATGCCCACTTACTGAAGTAAACAGCAGAAGATAACTACTGAGAAATCAAACGCTGTTATAGAATTTGATGTCCCTGTGAAGTTTGCCTTCAAGTGTTGAAGGAATAGATTTGCTGACCCCAACAAGCATGTTGTAAAAGGGCGACTAATTTGGAGTTTGTGGCAAACAAACGTGCTGGAACGGAAGAAGAAGATATCACAGCCTAGCTGTAAACCCCAGGACAATGTGATAACCACCCTTTTAACGGCAAATGGTAGACAGAGTTGTTGTTGTTGTTGTTGTTATCGATCCGGCGGCGCTGAGCTTTTGCCCTTTGGCCCAATGCCATGTAGTGGAATTTGCATGTTTTCACAAGCTGTTCTTTTCCTCCATACAAGGTGTTCCACTTGTCTGGTCTCGGAGGGAGTAGCATTCTTCTAGTCTCGCTGAGTTTTGGGCACTCAAAGAGATGGTGTTCAACAGTTTCATAGGGGTAGTTACATAGCTGGCACTCTGGGGAGTGTTGTGGCTGTATTCTGTTTAGGTGTCCATTGAGTGGAGTATGTTGCTTTCTAAGTCTGAAGATGGTGGCCTGGTCCTTTCTTGTTAGATGGTTAATGCTGTCATTAGGATCAGGGCCAGCCATGTGTCTATAAACCTCTCTTCCAGTGTCTCCCATGGCCCATCTGTTCAACCAAGTCTCTTTGTTTATAACTCTTATAAGTGTTTTTGCTGTCTGTAGGGTTGTTGCTGTAGGTGGTTGTTCTTGTTCTTGTGTTGCGCTCCTTTCTTTGCCAATGGTAGACAGAGAAGTGGTAGAGGGATTTATGTGTTCCAACTATCCCCCGCCTCTCCCACGCTCAACCCCTCACGAGCTATGCCAAAATATGTTGAATGTTTAATTAAGAATCGACATAGCACTCGGGAGGCTCCCATATGTGCTCCATCCCTAACTTCAGCAGCAAGCGAAATGTTCAAAGCCTGATGGCACCAGGAACTATCTTATTGTATTGTACATCTGTCTCACCTTTCCCCTGAGTGTTGACCATTGGCCAGATCCCCTGGTAACTGCCCACAACGCCATTCTCCTCAGAACGTTATGATCTATTTGTGACTCCGCATTGTTCACTGGCTTGCAAAAGGGCCCTCACACCATCAATTCACTAGCTATGCCAGTAATAGGGCAGCTGCAGGTTGCCTCTACTGGACAGATGACCGTCTGTCCTTCCATCAAAAGTAGGAGCCTAATACTTCCCAGTCCAGCAGTAGTTAAAATCCACTTTCATACGAGGGTAGCTTCATATGAAAACCTTAAAAGTCTGACCGAAATGACATTAACCATGCCGCTTCTGGTAACTTGTCAATATTGTTAGGGGTGTCTCCCCATGTGGGTTCCGGGGTCCTATTATAGGGAAAACAAGAATAGACCCACTGCCTGCCCAAAAGCATGTTGTAAGAGTCGACTAATTGGGAGCTTCCTTTGAAGTCAGAGTGCATCTGCCTCAAAGGCAAGGAACCAACAGTCTGAACACAAATGAGCCAGATTTGTCAAACAGATGCACATGCAACACTCAGGTTCTGAAACAGGACTGAAGACCAGAAGTGGACAAACAACCAGAACTGTTCACCAGAGTTTACAGCCGGTGAACATCAAGAAGAACAAAGTTAAGGGTGTCAAGCATGTGACAGCATGGTACAAATGACCCACTCCACTCATACACTTGCTGTTCCCGTGTGGGTTCAGTGGCCCCATTGTGACAGGGAGGGGAGGGGGAGTAGACAACTGCTCCCTAACAAGCATGTAGTAAGAGTCAACTAATTAAGGATTTTCTTCTACTTCAAAGTTGGAGTGCCTGAAAGGTGAGGAACCAACGGTCTACAGACACATGAGCCAGATCTGTAAAACCGATAAGCACAGAAGAATCAGGTTCTGAAATAAACCTAGAGTCCAGAAGTGGATGAGCAGCCAGAACTTTCCGCAGAGTTGACAGCCGGAGAATGAAAAGAAGAAGAAGACCATACACTCGCCAGACTGACTGGCACGCATCGCCATTCTGGCCCTTCATTTGCGGATGAATTTCTATAGATTTTACCCCTTCACACTGATCAAAAAACGGATAACAGAATTCTGCTTCTCTCTGGTGCATGTCAAAAGTGGGGAGGCCATTTTAAAAATGTCTTTACGACACCAACATGTTCATCTGCTCTGTGATGTCACATGCTTAACACTCTTTAACAATACTGACAATGGATGGTTACTGTAATTTCTATAACAATTTGAGTTTTTTTTTTTCATTCAAAGCCTCCTTATATTTTTTACAAATCAGTGAAGGCAAGTTACAAACACAGAATGCAACAGTTAGAAACATGTTGTATCAAGGCAAAGAAAGGGTTAATAACATTTATAATGATTTGTCTGGAATTAACACAGAAATTATAGTAGTGGTAAAGATAACCAGTGGGAAACTAGTCGAACCATAGATAAAACAATGCAGAAAGCACGTAAAGTTGGAAAATTATTTATTTAATGGAAATAACAGGTTGAATAATATTGATAAGGTCATAAATAAAAGGACGCTCTCGTTGCTTTTGGACAGTGGTACAAGAGCGGCACTTTAAATGAAATTAGGGCCACGCCACATATGAATCAGTGGCGAGCACAGCCACTGCAGCCAACCTCCAGTCAGGAGATGGCCTACCAAAAAGAACAAAAAACATGTAAGACAATCAATCATACATGTAAGACAATCAATCAAACATGTAAGACAATCAATCAAACATGTAAGACAATGAATCAAAATTCTAAGACAATCAATCAAACATGCAAAGAAATCACTGACATACCAAGGAAGAAAAAAAAAGGAAGCTGCCATGGTGTTGTGGCTAGACACTCGCCTGCAAATTCGAAGGTCGTGGGTTCAAATCTGCATGAAGGAAGATTTTTTTTTCTTCCAAACATGACGACAACCCAGCCTCAAATCGGTACTAGGTAAAGTCATGGGAGGTAAAGGTGGCCGGCGTGACCACTTCACTCACTGAGGGCCAATTTGATCTCTAAAAATATGATCCTGGCCTCATGTACACATCTGATGCGACCCTGGCATGTAAAGGGACCTTTGACCTTAAGGAAGGGGTGGAAAATAGGCAATGAGCAATTATTTAAACGACTGTATTGATGTCTACCAAGCAAACATCAAAATAATTTACAAAATGTCACAATTACAAAAAAAATGATTAAATACAAAATAAAGAATACATGTTTTCACAACTAACTGATATTTTACAATGTAGAAAGTAAGCAAAAGTATAACTATAAGACATTTTCGTGACATCCTTCCACGAACAAAGCACCAGCGGGTTGAATTAATGTGATTCAAAAGTGTGAGGAAACAAAAACGCCTCTATCTTAGAAGCCATTACAAAAGAAATAAAAAAGAATGTTAAAAAAAAATACTGCACCAATTAAGACTTCCTTCTTGTTCTTTCTGTGATTGTGTGTGTGTGTGTGTGTGTGTGTGTGCTCATTTTCAAACAAACAAATTAAATGCACAAAGTTACCCGGTTCAACTTGTCCCACATAAGGTAACAGAGGGCATAGTCACATTATTTACAGCATCCTTCCTGGACAATTCCTGCACTCAGCTAAGCACAAGACCAACAAACAAAAGGGATTCCACTGTACAAGCAGATCAACAAGGACTGATTTCAACAAAGTGACCCGCCCAGTGGGCGTTCTGCAGCCTCATTGTGTTGAGGGGGGGGGGGGGACTCCAACTGGGAACAATGCAAGATCTGTTGGTGACTATTCCCCACATTTTAGGTTTGATCAGTGTATACTAAATAAAACTGGCAACCACAAGGAAAATCTGTCAATGTTCTCATTCCTATAAACACATCAAGCGGTAGAGTTTTCATGGCAATTTTTGATGAAAAAAATAATGACTTCTGTAACAAAAACTTATGGACCCGAAAGAGTTAAAAGCATGTTTTACAAGGTTTGCTAATCCAAGGTTGGATGAAATTGGATGCGTTGAGCCAAGAGCTGCAGATTTCATAGCCTAGCTGTAAATCACAAAGTTCCAGCCACCCTTTTAGAGCAGAACGCAGAAGAAGAACAAGTAACACACCTGATATGTACTCTCAACACAAAGTTCCCAATATTAACTATCCTGTCTACAGTTCACTGTCATATTTACAACCCAGCCTCTGGTGCAATGATCTACTGCTGCTGCTGGCTGACCTACAGGATCCAGTCCTGTATGGTGACCACCTATTCACTACCAGCTGAGGGGAAGATCAGCATGTGTGCTGTCAAGACCTGTTCTGATAAGAAGCTTCAAATGATGCCATCAGGTCATTCTGTGCATTCATGTCGATTATATTGGCAGTCTGAAAGACAGTGCAGAATATTCTTGTTAAAATAATATATTTTTGAGGGGAAGTCAGTAAGTCACAAATGATCATGAGATGGCAGGAAAATATAGTTGGTGGTTTCTAAAGGTGTCATTAGGTGACAGCAACATCAAACTTTGTGTCTCCGTTCGTTAGATGGCGCTAGTTGTTGCATGACAGGATTTTATACCCAACAGTGACATGATTTTATCAACAGTGACAGGATTATAACCCCAAACAGTGAGAGGATTCTATCAGCAACAATGACAGGATTATATCCCCAATGATTATATCCCCAACAGTGACAGGGTTTTATCAGCAACAGTGACAGGATTGATATCCCAAACAGTGACAGGATTATATTCTTAACTGACAGGATTCTATTACAAACACTGACAGGATTATATCCCACTCACTAACATAATTCTATCATCACCACTGACAGTTTTATATCCGCAACAGTGATCTACCAGATTATATCCCTAACAATGACATGATTCTATCATCACCACTAACATGATTATAACTCAAACAATGACATGATTCTATCATCACCACTAACATGATTATATCCTCAACAATGACATGATTCTATCATCACCACTAACATGATTATATCCTCAACAATGACATGATTCTATCATCACCACTAACATGTTTATAACCCCAACAATGACATGATTCTATCATATCACCCACAATGACATATTCTATCATGTTATATATCCCCAACTGACAACAGTGACATGATTTTATCATCACCACTCATTATATGCCCCAACAATGGGACACGGATTAATCATCCCCAAAAATGACATGATTCTATTTAACATGATTTATATCAACACCACAGTGACCGGATTAAACCCCCCTCAGCAATGACATGATTCCCATCATCACAGTGAATAACACCAGGATTTCTGTCATCAACAGTGACAGGATTCTGTCATCAACAGTGACAGGATTCTGTCATCAACAGTGACAGGATTCTGTCAATAGTGACAGGATGACATCCCCCAAAGAGTAGCAGGACTCAACCCCCCACAGGCAGCATTCAATCCCCAACAATTAGAAGATTCTATCTCAAAGAGTGAGCTCAGACTTTATGCTAGGGGGAGGTCTCCATTGGCCCCGGATTTATTGTGGAAGATACTTGTTCCTAACAACTGGTCCTGCCAGTCACACTCGGTTTCTCCATGAACTGTGATTTTCAAACGTCTCTAAAGCACAATAAAATACTAGTGAGTGGGGGGAAAAAAGCAAAGCTGCCAACACAGTGTGAAAATTCTAGCAATAAGTGTGAAAGGATTCTGATACTACAGGATTCTGTCCAGAGATAAGAATGCCCCGTACCATCTGGCAAAGGCACAAGATGATGTTGAAATACTTTACTTTCTATTGAAACACACACACACACAAATGCACTTACTGCTTCCCTTCTCATCTGAGCTGCCCGTCTCATCTGCTCTATTCTTTCTCGCTTCTTTCTTTCCTCCTCTGCTTTATCGTCTTCCATTTTTCTCTTGCGTGCTGCCTCAATGGCCTCCTCTTCTTCCCTCTCACTGAAACAATTTCCATCAGCAACAACATCAAAGCAATACCAAGCAAAAACAGAGGAATCAAGTGAGCAATCCCCCTACCCCCCCCCCCCCCCCCCCCCAAATTATTTTGAATATTTTGTTATTACATTTGACATCACTGCACATTGGGCATTCCCATGCATGTTAAGTCCTTTGATGCAGCAGCCATTCTCATGTAGTTTTAATGACTTTCCCATCAGGAGCTGGTTATAGTGTCCCCTATCTTAACCTCAAAGTCATCACAGACTTGCTTCACAATACTTTACTTCCATGTCATGCAATCATGTTAGTGTAAAAGATTCATTATTATCAACTGACCTGGTCTGTACAGAACTGAAGATACCTGCTCTGTCCATTGCCTCTTCCCTCATGCCCTGGTGCACTGCTTCATATGCCCTTAAAAGGGCGGTTAGTATATTGTGTTGTGGTTAACAGCTAGGCTATGATATCTGCACTGTTTGCCTCAATTATCCTATTTCAGTAAATCCTTAGTGGCCTTTTTTTGTTTGTACAACATGTTTGTCCAGGGTAGTGGGTCCATTCATGTTTTATTCACCTAAAAATGGAGCTTTGGAACCCACAAAGGGAAATAAACTGAATAAAGTGACCTTTTGACTTTTGTGTAGCAGATGTGATAAAAGTAAAAAGTAAAGATCCCTTTTCACGCCTGAAGGAGCATCGGGTACATAGGAAGAGAACCCATATTTTTATAGACCAGTCGGCACTAGGTGGGTAATGTGGTCAGCATTATGCCGGCCGTCTTTACTTCCCCAGGACAGCAGATGTAATAGTCCCCTAAAAATGGAGCTCTGGAACAAACAAGGGGATATAAACCAGAATCAACAGTAACATTCGTGTAGCAGATGTGATACACACTCCATTATCAAGCAGTGAATATGCACCGATTGCCCCAGGTTCTTCAACTGCATTTGTTCTTTAAAGGATGGTTAGCATGCTGTGTTGTGGTTTACAGCTAGGCTCTGATATCTGTCCCTTTAGGTCTAACATTGCTGATTTCAGCATATTGTTAATTAGTAAATTTTCTAAATGCTTGTTAAGGTTTATTCCTCCCCTTCATACACCTTCTTCCACTCTGTGCATATTGTGTTGTTTACAGTTAGGCTGCGATGTATGTTCCTTGTGACCCAACACACATGACTTCCGCATACCTTTAATTAGTTGCCTATCACATGACATATAAAGGTGATGAATCCATGAGTCAACAAGAGTTGCAAATGTCAACAAGAGTTGCAAATGTCAACAATGGAACCACATGGGGAGCTGATGGAAAAATACTCAATAAAGTATACAAGCAGAGCATACAACCACACTTGGAATATGGGTCAACTGCATGGTGTTCAGCATCTAGTACCACATTAAAGGAGTTGAACAAAGTGCAAAATCAAGCGTTTAGAGTCATCCCAAAAGGGATGAAATCAACCCCCATATTAGAAATGGAGAAAGCTGGGAAAACACAGGCACTGAGAGAACGCACAGATACAAAGTTGCAAATACAAGCTGAAAAGTTCCTCAGTATGCCAGATCACCCGATGAAAAATAGATTTCAGAACCTAGCCTTGGGAGGATTAAAAAGAAGCAGCTTTATACACCAAGCAAACAAGAATATGTAGACAAACTACTGACCTTCCAGATATTGGTTGTCCACTTAAAAGTATTCCAGAACAAACCCCATGGAGAGAAAAATGCAAACTGACTGTACAAATCCAGAGAAATTTGAAAAGGATATTTGACAAGAAAGAGCAAGATAGTGTACAACGCAGAATGGCCACCCTCAGTTATATTGATGAAGAATACCCAAAAGAACAATGGGACAGAGTCTATACAGATGGGTCCGCAGAAAGTGCAGTTAGAAATGGTGGTGCTGGAGTGTACATCGAATTCCCAGATGGTACTAGGGATAAGTCCAGCGTACCAACCAGGAAGTACTGCCATAACTATGATACAGAAACTCAGGCTATCAAGATAGCAACAGAGAAACTGCTAAATACCAATCTTGGCTCACAGTATGTGGTAATGCTGACAGATGCTAAAGCCGTACTTGAAGCACTCTAGTATAGGAAACTACCAGAATTGCAAACAATGCTGACACAACTCAGCCTTCAGAGAAGAGTCGTAATGCAGTGGATACCGTCTCATTGTGGAGTGTCTGGAAATGAGAAAGCTGATCAACTGGCAGGGGAAGGTGCGACAAAAGTGCAGCCGGATGTACCAGTCACATACCACCAAAAGAAAAGAATCATTAAATCGATCAAAAACCCACCAGCCCCAGCACAAGACGACTATTTTATTATGGACAGATCAGAACTAGTCATTATCTTCCACCTCAGAACAGGGCACAACCGATTACGTAACCACATGTACATAAAAATTCAAGATAGGCATATCAGCCATGTGCACCTGTGGAAAGGTGCATCATTCAGCAGAGCATGTACTCCAGGACTGCACCAAATTTGACACATTTTGGCCAGAAAGAACAACCATGGAATGTAAACTCTATGGACCACTGAATGAAGGAACTAACAACGACAGTGAAATTTATACAAGAAACAAAATTGCTGATATAGACAACTTATTTCAGGCGAACGAACGAAAAAGAAGAAGAAATGTCAACAAGAGTTGCAAATGTCAACAAGAATTGCAAATGTCAACAAGAGTTACTAATGTCAACAAGAGTTGCAAATGTCAATAAGAGTGCAAACGGCAATAAGAGTGCAAATGTCAACAAAAGTTGCAAATGTCAACAAAAGTTGGAAATGTCAACAAAAAATGCAAATGTCAACAAGAATTGCAAAAGCTCACTAAATATAAGGTCTGATTCTTCATATGAATGCTTCAATAAAAACTATACTCAAAAATATCTTACCGTTTCTTTTCTTCCTCAATTCTTTGTTTTTCTTTTGCCAGCTTCTGTTTCTGTTCCTCGGCTTTCTTTAAATATATTTCCTGCAAAACAGACGCTCTTCTACAGTGTACCAAAAAGTGACTAATCATGGGTGTAAAGATTTCAGATATCTTGGGCCGAAAGGTACAGATATCACAACGCAACATGCCAAGGGCAAATGGAATAAAAGAAAAATTGGAAGGGGGGGGGGGGGGGTGTGTCACAGTTAAGTGATGAAGGTATCTGTCTCATGCCTTGAAAGATGTTGGTTCATTTCACAAATTTGAACTTTTGTTTTCAAATGGCGATAAGCGGCTGTGTTAATTTTTTTTTTTTTGTGGGTGGCTGTGATTTCTCATGGGTTTTACTGTTACTTTATCATGGACTGCTATTTTGTGATTTTTGTCCAATGCAGGATAGACTGTGTTTTTTGTGGGAGCAGCGGGTATTGTGGTGTGCTACGCTGAGGCTGAATGATGACCGACAGTTCTGGCAAAGCCTCAAGTAAGTTGTATTTGCAATACTTTGATCGTGCCAGGTCAACCTTACTGAAAGACAAAACCTCATTAGCGAGGAACTGTAAACTGTCTAGACAGCAAACTCAATAAAAGTTATCCCCTAAAACTGAATGTGTCAACCATTTTTTGGGGTGGAGAGGAATCAACACATACAGTTAACTCAATGGCCGTGGCCATTTTCCAAACTACATCGTTCAGTCTACAAGTGAAATTCGTATGGAGATCTCTGTGGGAAAAGGTGGCGGAGGGATGGGGGGTAACGGATTGTCACTGGAGCTTTGAAACTCGTACTCTGTGCAATGCTCTCAGTACAAACTGTTCAGCATATATGGGTAAACCTCTTGTGGAATAAAGTTGATCTTTAAACCTGATTTGAAAAACACATTTCTGAACTCAATAATCTTTACAGGATCATCATTTGCTACAGTCTTCTGCTTTTGCGTGTTCCTGGGCTCTAAACACCAGCAGAAAGTTATGACTGCACATCCACTTCTGGACTTGAGTATTGTTCCAGAATGTGAGTTACAGATCTACGCAGACTGTTGGTTTCTTGCCTCGCAGGCAGATGCACTCTGACTTCCAAGAAAACGCCTAATTATCACTCTTACAACATGCTTGTTAAGGAGGCAGAGGGTCTATTCTTCTATGACAAGTAACAAAGTCAGGCACACAAACAGAGTGACTTCCTTTCCCATTGATGCCTCGTTGTGACGCATACGTCTTCTATGTTGCAGGGGTGCTTCTTTGGCATTCGGTCTGCGTATTTAATGTTTGTGGGAAGTTGTGTTGTCGTGAGTCTCTTTGAGGCGCTGCAGGCGCCTGTGTACAAGTAAGAGGTACTGCAGGGGAAAGCACTGCAGGCGCGACAATTCGTGAGTATCAAAACTTAGATGTTTTTGTATTTCTATATTCGTTGGTGGTAGCTTCACCCTGAGACAGAGAACACACTGACAAGGAACACAGGCATAGAAAAACATAACAGTTTCTGTACTCCCGAAACGTCGCTCAGGTAGTAAAAAGTGAAAATAATTACACAAGTCAGCTGTGACAAGATGAGGAAAAAGAGAGGTTTTAAAGCATTGACTATAAGGAATACTTGACAACCTTGCAACATTAAAGATGCCCTGCATCACAACGAGGCATCAATGGGAAGGGAAGTCATTCTGTTTGTGGGCCAGACTTCGTTATTTATTCCATTCTTCTTAATCCCCCACAATGGGGCTCTAAAACCCACGCGGGCACTATTAGGGACAACAAGTAGCCAAATATCACTTACTTTCTGATTTTTCATCTCATTGATTTTCTTGAAATGCTGGAAAGTTGCAGTGATAGAGTTCCATGACTGGGCATTGTTCATTTTTACCTCCATCTGCAATAAAATGTCAACATTGCTAGAACACATGCCAACATGCAAAGTTGGATGTGATGACCAAAAGGTGCACATACCACATCTATGCTGTAGGCAGGCACACTGCAGTTACATCAACCATCACTACCCTAACCCAGAAAAGAACCCCAAAAGAGGCTACGGGTGAGAAAAGAAGTCAGAGGAGGATGAAAGAAGTCAGAGGAATGAGTAGGTGGAGGAAAGAGCAGCAGCAGCAGAAAAAAAAGAGGAGGAGAAGGGGAATCGAAAAGGAGGAGAAAGAGAAGCAGCAGCAGAAGAAGGGAAGGAGGGCTGGTGAGAGAACAAGAAGAATAAACTAAAAAAAAAGACGAAGGAGATTAAAATCACAATTCTACATACAATTCTACTGTTAGTAATAATTCTTTTAGTACTAGAAGGTTTAACAGCAGACGTCCACTGGTGAAAATTAAATGCTATGAAAAGTCATGAGTCAACGTTAATCAAAGATGCTAAAAACAGTGTAAATCACCGCCACTACCCCAAAGTCATCTAGGTGCTAAATTCATGTTTTAAGAAAACTACATTTGAAAACAGATCTCTCTGAACACATCAGATTGTGGAAAATAGAAACTGTGTAGCTGCATAAAAACTAGTAATACTTCGTATTGACCTATCTAAGGTGACAATTCACACGTGTGCCTTTGGCATCTTGTAAAGTGATTGGTCATCATACCGCGTATCCATCAGATCATCGAGATAGCCAAGCACTTCAATCTCATTGTCCTTATCTATCGGGGCATCTCAGTACCCACCACCAGACGCAGAAACAGCCAATCAAGATGGCCAGTTCAAAGAAGTCAGCGAGGCGGCACTCCTTCTATGAGCCGCTGGCTTAGAACACCGAAAATCCAGCCAAGCACCACGTGGAATCCAGCAGCAAGAAAACCAGGCGGATATCTACAGTGGTGGATACCAGTAAGCATACAGAGGAGAACAAAGCCACCTCAACCGAGGGAGGCACACTGCATGTAGCACCAAGAACACAATGTAGAGGAGCTTCCAGTTGAGGACAATAAAGCTAATAGCAGAACATCTGGGGGAGGGTGAGAGGAAGACCAAGAAAGAGATGGATAAATAATATGGCCGAAACCGACAAAATGATGAACAAATCCATCACTCAATCCACACAAGCAGTGTAAGACAAATACAGAAAACTACAACGCTGGGCTACAATCTGGTATCAGTGAGATGACACCATGAACCGGCTCTCTAGCGAAGTTGGTTAAACCTGACTTTCGCGGCGGCCGGGTGACGAACTCCTTGTGGTCCGGGTTCACTCCCGGGGGTAGGCAGAAAAGCCACATTTCTCCCAGATTAACGGTACCTATAATGGAATCAAGGCTGAAGGGTTGCGATATCCATAGTACCGAGCCAAAGGGTTTACAACTCATGGTTTCTGGATACGTTTTAAAAAAAAATCAGTGAGATGACACCATGACACTGGTATCAGTGGGATGACACCATGACACTGGGCTACAACCTGGTATCAGTAAGACGACACCATGACCCTGGGCTACAATCTGGTATCAGTGAGACGACATCATGACACTGTGCTACAACCTGGTATCTGTGAGACGACACCATGACACTGGGCTACAACCTGGTATCTGTGAGACGACACCATGACACTCAAAGAAAACTGCACTTTGGTGACTTTCATACAGTGCCAAGGAAACGGCCACAGAGGAAGCCAGATGTCTTTGATATGTTCTGACCGAATGTAAGAGAACACAAAACACCATGGCTGAGATTTATAGAGAAGAGCCAAAATACAACATCAGTGCTTTGGACTGAGTTAAGGTACTTGTTTATGTTCAGGTTACGGCTAAGATAGTGTGTCATAAAGGTATGGATACTTCCTGTAAAGGCATCCAGTCAATGGCAAAAAGCTATGTAATGTGTCAATGTAACATGTCTATGTGGATGTATCTATGTAGCATATCTATGTGTCATGACTATGCAACATGTTTATGTGATGTGGCTATGTAACATGCCTATGTGATGTGTCTATGATTTGATTTGATTTGATTCAAGAACCGACATCACAGCACTCGGGGCATTCCCATAAGCATTCCGTCCCCATCTTCAGCAGCCAGTGAAGAGTTCCGATACTAATGGTGCCAGTAGCATTCTGATTAAACATCCGTCTTGCCTTTCCTCTGAGCCTCGAGCATCTGCCAGAACCTCACTTCACCCCCAACTGCATCAATCTCACCAGACTGTGGTGATCCATCTGCTCCTCTGAATTGTACACGCTCTTCCACAAGGCACTAACCACGTCTGCCTATCATGTATCAGTATTCCACCAAGTTGTGCAGAGCCAGCCAGTCTGTCGGCCTGTTCATTTCCCAACACACCGGCGTCACCCGGTGAAAAAATCCAGACAATACTCCTCACTCGTGTCCTCCGCAGCGAAGCATGCCACTCTGCACAAAGCATACCTGTTCTGATCTTCCTCAGCATGTTTTCTGCGATGTGTCTATGTAAAATGTCAATGTGATGTATCTGTGCAACATGCCCATGTACTGTGTCTATGCAACATGTCTAAGTGATGTGTCTGTGTCTAAGTGATGTGTCTATGTAGCATGTCTATGTGTTATGTATGTGATGTGTTTATGTAACATATCTATGTGATGTATCCATGTAACATGTCTATGTGCCATGTATATGTGATGTCTCTATGTAACATGTCTGTGATGTGTCTATGTAAAATGTCTATATGATGTATCTATTTGATGTGTCAATGTCCCCTGTCTATGTCGATGTGATGTGTTTCATACAGGACATTGACATCCTAAGCATTAAGTCTATAAGGCAGGAAAATTAACAGTGTAAAAGAATGGCTTTTCGACAATGTCAGTGATGGTCTGCATAAGACCTACTACACAACGTTGATGTGTCTTACCTTGCCTGCTGGCGGCTGGGAGACTGTCGGAACAGGGGGAGTTTTATTTTCCACATCATTGGACTTGATGGCATTGTTCTGATGGCTGTACCCAACACCGAAGGATACACCAACCCCACTTGCAGCAGCTATATAGCAACAATGAAACAAACAACAGTCTACATAAGATATGACATCTTAGTCAAACACACATTAGTCTTCCCACAGAAAGTAGGTCACGTTTCATTTATAACTTTCTTGGGCTGGTCTAACCTGCTGGACGTTATGGGTGTGCCGCCCTGTTGTTTTCTTTCTGGGATGTCTTGCATTTACTTTTTTATTCCGAGAAAGAGAATGCCTGTGACATAGGCTTCATCACTCTCTAAACGGGTTGTGTGTTAGGCCCAGTTTGTCAATGTTTTTGTACTGTTAAAGCCCCTGGAATGCTGAAATATAGAAGACGCGATTTAAGCGGCATTGGGGAACACCCCCGTCACCTTGTTCCAAGGACGGGTGGTTCAAGGTCGACCAATTAGAAGTGAGCTAGACTGAAGGTCGACCAATCAGAAGTGAGCTAGTATGTATATGGGCGGCCAGTGGGGGGAGAATTTTTTTTCTATTACTGACATCTTTAAACAGAAAAAAAAAATAAGGAGATATTGCAGAGCAGAGGTCAGCATGCATGACAGCTTGATCTCCTTCGTCTTCTTCACATTCACCAGCTGTAAACTCTAGTGTAAAGATATGGTTGTTCATCCACTTCTGGACTTTGCATTTGTCCCACAACTTGAGTTTTGGGTGCACATCTGTTTTAGAGATGTGATTTATTTGTATGCAGACAGCTGGTTCCTTACTTCTCAGGTAGTTGCCTTTTGACTTTGAAGGATACACCCCTAAGGTGAACTTAAATGACATGCTTACTGGGGGGGAGGGTTTGGTTTTCACCCAAACTTTGGCCCTGGAGAGCGTAAGTTCTTGCTCAATGATTTATGAATGACTTTCCAAATCCAGAAACTAATACTGTGGAAAGATTGATCCATAACTGACAGATTAAAGATAAGAGGATTTACTTCATTGCACCAGGTTATCCACATAGTTCTATCTCTCTCTGCAAAATGGCCAGCTGCAGGCTGAGAGGGTTGTACAAAGCCCAAACTCCATAGCTGCAGTAATGACCTCCTAGGAATCTCTGTAAAAACTTCCCTCACACTTCCGTGACATGAACTCACAACTTTTAGATTGCAAGGTAATTGATTTGACCTCCATATGCCACTGGACTGAACCCATCCCACTGTCCATGCAGCTAAGTGCAATGACCAGGTACTGAAACTCCCTGTTAACTCTTCCAGCACCAGAAGCTGCCCAAAAAAAGCAAACCTGACCACAACAAAATAATGTTTCAAATACACAATCCTTGTAGGACACTGATGTATTCCTGCAGTGCTTTAGTATACACTGCTAAACTGTAAGGAAGCCGCCATGGTGTAGCATTTAGACCAGCGGTTCTCAACCTTTGGGTAGCAACCCTGCTGAATTTCAAATGACCTTTTCACAGGGCTCACCCAAGACCATCGGAAAACGTATATTCACAGAAGTTATGCAGTAGCATTGAAAATTATTTAATGGTTGGGGGTCACCACAACGAGGGGAACTGTATCAAAGGGTCCCCACATAAGGAAGATTGAGGACCGCTGTTCCAGATGCTCACCTGGCGATCCAAAGGACGTGGGTTCAGGACCAGACAGAGCTGCTTTTTTATGTCAAAAATGACCTTGGCTCCCTGGTTGACCCAGCTTTAAATGGGTACCAGGTAAAGTCATGGGAAGTAAAGGTGGGTGGCGTGACGTTGACCCCATCGCCTGCAGAGTGCCAACTGGTCTATACAATACAAGCCTAGCCCTATATGCCAAATACCCCAACAGACGTGGAAAAGGTTCCTTTAAATGTTTTTTTAAATTTCACTTAACCAATTAACTATAAAATATACACGTATAAGGTGTTGACTGGGGCACTGAGCTAGTCCAATGACACACGGTGCCTTCTCTGGTACTGAAAAAGGTCATGAATTCATATTTTAAAGAGAAAAGCTGGACTTACACGCTTCGGCTCCAAGCGGAGCACTTGGAGCTGAATTTGGAGGACTAGGACATGGACTAGAATCTTCATCACTTAGAGACAAGTGGACAAGGTTGTCAGCTTTCCTTGCTGCAGCTCCAGGCAGAGCAGTTTCAGGGTTTGCTGGCTGTGTTCTGGGCTGATGCTGCTGTTGAGTCTGCATAGCCACCACATTATTATCTTTAGACGGTCTTCTCCCAGGGCAAACTTGAAGCCGGAGTTCCCTCGGGGCCGGTGATTGATGCAATGCGTCGGTCAACTGCCCCAGGCAGCTGAGCGCTGGATACAGGAACTGTCATTAACAAAATTTAAATAAGACATTATGTTTGAAGCAGGTTTTAAAGAAAAATATAAAGGGTGTTTGTAAAGTCTCATTATACTTTCTGTGTAGAAACAAAAATAAACAAAAAAAGAAAAAAAAGTACATGTAATCATAAAAAATATGTGCTCCACAGTAAATCTAGAAGCAACATGCAGTGAACTGCTGTCTCCTGGAGTCATTCTGTGCACTCAAAGAAGAATGGTGTTATCAGTGGAAGCAATCAGCATTACCATTCAAGAAGTAAAAACAGACACGTTGCAGAATGTATCTGACAACATGAAGAGACATGAAAAGTCGTGTCTTGAAGCCCGTGGTGGATATTTCCAAGACCTGTTATAATGAATATCTCACTGGTACTTTCCTGCCTCCCCAAAACAGCGTTAGGCCATAGCAGTGGCTATCGTAGAGATGTACGTATTTATCAGCCATCCAGGATATTATTCCTTCCTTGGACTGCCTTGTTAACTCCAAAGGAAAGGTCTGGAACAAAGAAATTGCAGGACTGGAAAAGCAGTTGTCTGTCTAGCTGGCTGTTGAGGCTTCCATTCTAAACTAGCTGTTAACCAGACCTGGTCTGCCCTGCTACAAGATTAAGTTTTCAGGTTGCATTTTCTTGTCCTGGGAGAAGGCTACTATCCTCCCTCCTATGCGCACCTAAAACCATTAGTGCAATATCTGGTCACCGCTTAAGGAATTTTATACGGCAATCATCATTATCCACCGAGAACAGAACATGAAACATACCAGAACACGAAACATACAAGGTATTTCTTCATTTTTATTTTCCTTATTAATTTACTTCTTTTTTTCCCCCGTGTGGGAGTCGCCGTGGCCGAGCGGCTAGACGCTCGCCGCGATCGGAAGGTCGTGGGTTCGCTCCCTGGCGGAGCCTGACTTTTTTCAAAAATGACCTTGGCTCCCAGGTCGACCCAGCCTTGAGTGAGTACTGGGTTCAGTCCCAGGAAGTAAAGGTGGCCGGCGCGCTGCTGACCACATCACCCATATTGTGCCGATTGGTCTATAAAAATATAGGTCTAGCCCTATATGAATAAAGGCGTGGAAAAGGGTCCTTTACCCCCCCCCCCCCCCCCCCCCATCCGTGTGGGTTCCGGGGCCCTATTAAAGGGAAAACAAAAATAGACCCACTGCCTTCCCAAAAGCATGTCGTAAGAATCGACTAATTAGGCGCTTCCTTTGAAGTCGAAGTGCATCTGCCTGAGAGGCAAGGAACCAACAGTCTGCATACAAGTGAGTCAGATCTGTCAAAAGGATTGCACACGCATACCTCAGGTTCTGGAACAGTACTGCAGACCAGAAGTGGATTAACAACCAGAACTTTCCGTCGGAGTTTACAGCCTGTGAACGTGAAGAAGAAGAATTCCTCTCTCTCTTTCTTCTTTTTATAGAGTTAAAAACTAGTGAATTTCATAAATGCACATTATTCCTTTCAAACTTTACCTTTACAAAATCCTGCTCTAGCGCTGTACTCAGCTGTCCTGAGAGAGGTTATTCAAAGAGTTGAGTTGAACTTTTGGCAAAACAAGTATTCAACTGAAAGCTCTCCTTCTTTGCATTCACAGACTGTAAACTCTGGCAGAAAATTATGGTTGTTCATCCACTTCTTGTCTTTAGTCTTATTTCCAAGATTTGAGTTTTCTGTGCACATGCTCCGTTTTACAGATCTGGCTTATGTGTATGCAGACTGTTGGTTCCTCGTCTCTCTCTCAGGCAGATGCACTCAGACTCTGAAGGAAACACCCTTAATTAGTCAACTTTTATGAAAAAGACAGATCAAGTTAACTCATATTTGACTCTAACCTTTCAACCTACAACACAACACAAATCTTACTGTTTGGTCTGGCCACCGGCTTGGGGGTAGCTACAGCAAGTGGTTGCTTGGGAGGTTGAGCAGGCATGGTGTGTGTGATAGTTCTGTTAGTTGCGGTAGCTGGAGGAGCAGACGTAACAAATATATAAGTTTATGGGTCCCACAAGTTTTAATTTAAAAAATAAAAAATATAAAAAATGAATACCATTTACTTTGAAATGTTTGTTCCTTCATATAATATGCTCTGCATGACTAATATTGTTTTGAAAACATCTATCTATGCATGTCCTACCCACACTGCTGTCGAACACGTAAGCACAGTTAACGTAATGTTTGCAATGGCGTTGGTGATATGCTTATTTTTCCTATGTATGGAAACTTATGGGACAGCCAGTAGTAATTGATAGATAATCTACACAGGATAGCAGTTGACACTGGGCTTGTGTAGCTGTTATCACATCTTTGGAGGCTGAAAACGGTACCTGGGATTTGCATTGTTGGTCTGCCATTCAGACAGACTTTGCAATCTCAGGCAGATATGGCAGGCTCACAGAGAGACAGATAGGAGAGGCTTACAGAGATAAAGACAAATGGAGACAGACAAAAAGAGACAGATATGGCAGGCTTAAATACAAAGATGGATAGATAGTGTAGGCACAGAGACAAAGAGAGAGACAGCCAAAGAGATACAAAGAGAAATGGAGACAGTGACTAAGAGAGACAGATATGGCAGGCTCAGAGAAAAAGAATGATAGACAGTGCAGGCACAGAGACAAAAAGACACAGATATGGCAGGCTCAAAGACAAAGATGGATGGATAGGACAGGTACAGGAACAAAGACAGACGTATATGGCAGGCTCAAAAACAAAAAGGGACAGATTCATATACATTCAGAGAAACAAAGATACGTAGCAACATACCAGCAGATGTCAATGACAGAGAGCCGGAAGTATTGGGCAAGCTGAGACTTGAAGGACCAGATAAGCTGATGTTACCTATGCCTACACCTGGACGGACTTCATGCTTCACCGAGTTCACATGGGTGGCTGCAACATTCATGGCTGGCTGCACTTTTGGGAATGCATTCGGGATCACAGGAGAGGTCAGGTTAACTGGTGAGGATGTGTCTTTCTTGTTGGCTGCTGCCAAAGGAACCTTTGACCCTTTCAGTGGACCAGACTGTCATGGGGATGGAACAGACATTATTCACCAAAAGTGGCGTACACTTATAAAAGCTATCTGTAAACGTAAACATATAATTAAACACTGTGACTATTCCGGAGAAGTGACAGTGGTTTTCAGCTCACAGAAAAACTAACAGCTTTATATATGAAGCAAACGGATGGATATGTTTAAGAGATCTCTTCCTGCCCTGATGCTGCAAGGCATTCCCGTAGTAGAGAAAAGAAAAAGAGAAGAAGAAACATATTTTTACTATCAGTCTCTCTTTGTAACCACATCAGTATTATCTGCCTGTCTATGTTTCCATCTTTTAATTTTTTGGGGTGTGTATTTCAAACTACCATTATCTGTAAGCGGGGTCCTTTTTGTCACAGCATGTCAGAAATTGGTACATGTCGCGATAATAGACCAAACAATGAAGGTGACCTCCCTTCCCATTGATGCCTCGATCTGGTATAATGCCTCTACTATGTTGCAGGTGTTTCAGTTGTAGTGAGTCGTATTTTATACTCCTTGTTGCCAGCAGCCGGCGTCTTCTATGATGTGAGAGTTTTTAACAGTCCTAAAACATGTACAACTGGGCCTAACCCCAACCACCCCTACTCCACAGCCTCAGCATATGTCTCACAAGTGTATGCTGCCTCTATTATATGCACCCCTGCGACAAAGTAGAGGCGCTACAATAGATCAAGGAACCAAAGGGAAAGGAGGTCATTCTCATGGTTCGGTCTCTTTAACTAGGTACTTTAGTCAAATTTTTAAAATGCCCTTAACACCAATAAAACCAGCACAGTTAGATAGCTGTAAACAATCTCTTTCTAATGGTACCTCATTTAGCATTGTATGTAATTTCTGAGCTGAGATATGTAGGTTTTTGTGGTGATGAGATGTAAAAAAAACAGCTGCTAAAACTTGTGTCTGAGAAACAAGAAGTTTTCTCTGCGCAACCAAGCTGCGCAATTTTCTCAGACACAGCCACATAATAGCGATTGCCTGAAAAATGTCACTGTAAATCTAAATAGCCACGCACAAGAAAGACATTTTATACACAAATGTTAAATTGGACGGAGAATTCAATTATAACTAGCATTACCATGTCTAGTAACAGTTAAAGCCTAAAGTCAACTTTGAATACTTATCGCTATTTTCAATCAAACTGATGTAACAGAAAAACAGAGGACATCCGGCTGTCGTAGACATGCGCTGTTAATCGGGTTCGCTCCCGCCGTTTTCAGCTGTTTATAGCTGGTGAAAATCACACCAACCGCAACATTTCATGAGAGATTAGGACCCATCCCGAAACCCCAGCCGACATTTCTCAAACAAGTTTTGAACGGTTTCCATGGTAACGGAAATTGCCAAAAAGACCGCAAATGGTTGAAACTGTAGTCGCTACTTTAACGTGACTAGAACCCAGAAATTCACAAGGTTCCCTGTCATCTTCCCCACCTGGTAGCACATTTATCCCCAGGATTTATTACAATCAATATTGTTTACTGCAGTTCGAAATGTAGATGTAATTCAAGCACATTCCAGTGCTTGTATTTATTATTTAGCTGTGTTTGATACTGTTTGTTATTACCTGTTAACAGATGTAAGAAAGAAATGATGTCTGAAAGAAATGATGTCTGCAAGAAATGATGTCTGAAAGAAATGACTGAAAGAAATGATGTCTGAAAGAAATGATGTCTGAAAGAAATGACTGAAAGAAATGATGTCTGAAAGAAATGATGTCTGAAAGAAATGACTGAAAGAAATGATGTCTGAAAGAAATGATGTTTGAAAGAAAGGATGTCTGAAAGAAAGGATGTCTGAAAGAAATGATGTCTGAAAGAAATTATGTCTGAAAGAAATGATGTCTGAAAGAAATGATGTCTGAAAGAAATGATGTCTGAAAGAAATGATGTCTGAAAGGAGGTAGATTAGAAGGGCAGAACATTAAACATGGCTGCCTGCCCAATTCTCAATCCTTTGATAATAAAATCTGCTTAAGCTTGTTCATTGTTCATGCCTTTATGCCTAGGGTGTCCTTGATATCCTACGTCCACTGCCCTGCTCCACAACCTTTGCTTCTTTTTCCAAGAACTATAGCAAAGCCATAGCTTCATGCCATCATGCAGTGTCTCTCTTGATCTGCCTCTGCCTCTTCTACCATTCTTCTTCTTCTTCACATTCACCGGCTGTAAACTCCTGCAGAAAGTTCTAGTTGCTCTTCCACTTCTGGACTCTAGTCCTGTTCCAGAAACTGAGTTTTGCATGCACATCTGTTTCACAGGTCTGACTTATCTGCATGCAGACTGTTAGTTCCTTGCCTCTCAGGTAGATCTACTCCGACTTCAAAGGAAGCTCCCAATCAGTCGATTCCTATGACATGCCTTTGGGCAGGCAGTGGGTCTATTCTTGATCTCCACACAATGGGGCCCCGGAACCCACACGGGGAAGATCTACCACTGATCTTTCCAGTCATCATGATGTTCTCCAATGCCTCTCTTCTCACAACATCTGCAATAAACAACTACAATACAACATTCCAAATACACTACAAAGTGTCTTCATTACCATCAAGTTTGGACCCACTTTTCTCAACCCTGATTTCTTCATCTTTACTGGTGACTCTGAAAGGACAAAATAAAACAAAGACATGATTATGACTCTGTTCGCTGACTATGACTGCACTTGGGGCAAGACAGTAATTATTTAGTCTCCCCATACAGAAGCTGAAATGTAAGGATGCTAGCTGACCATGCTTTGCACTGGTTAGTTACACATCAGAACCAACGTCTTCTTCTTGTCAATACCTGCTTTGTGCTGCTGAACTGTTGTTGCATGTAAACAGAGGTTAGGCAGCCAAGCTAGGGCACGCTCTGTTGCTTGGTGTGCCTAGGGAACTTACATCCAACACAGTGTTATCGAATATTTTGGGTTATGGCCCTTGCTGTTCAGCGTTTTCTGGTTAGTATTAATTTCCTATGGTCACACACGTGCCAGAGATTGAATTGGCCAGACATGTATGTGATTTCTCTTAAAGATACTTCAGTTACGTAATTTTGTGTATTCTTGTCTGTATCTGTGGTATTGTGAATTTACATATGTGATGATGGCTATCTAGCTGCAACATTTTCTTGTTTGTGCCTGTGATAATGTCAACCTGACTGGTTCCACTTTTCACTTGGTTTGATATCTTTGCAAGGTATGCTGTTATTGACTCCTTCGATCCACCTTCTTCTAGGCCTGCTTCTGCCTCTTATTGCTTCCATTTGCACACTGTCTGCTCTTGCTACCGGCTTTGTTATATTCATTCTCACTAGGTGGTCCAACCATTACAATGTCTGCAATCATTTAGGTGGCCCAACCATTTCAATGTCTGCAATCATTTAGGTGAAACAACCCTTACAATGTCTGCAATCATTTAGGTGGCCCAACCATTACAATGTCTGCAATCATTTAGGTGGTTCAACCATTACAATGTCTGCAATCATTTAGGTGGTTCAACCCTTACAATGTCTGCAATAATTTAGGTGGCCCAACCATTTTAATGTCTGCAATCGTTTAGGTGGTTCAACCATTACAATGTCTGCAATCATTTAGGTGGCCCAACCATTATAATGTCTGCAATCATTTAGGTGGCCCAACCATTACAATGTCTGCAATCATTTAGGTGGTTCAACCATTACAATGTCTGCAATCATTTATGTGGCCCAACCATTACAATGTCTGCAATCATTTAGGTAGCCCAACCATTTTAATGTCTGCAATCATTTAGGTGGTTCAACCATTACAATGTCTGCAATCATTTAGGTGGTTCAACCCTTACAAGGTCTGCAATAATTTAGGTGGCCCAACCATTTCAATGTCTGCAATCATTTAGGTGGCCCAACCATTTTAATGTCTGCAATCATTTAGGTGGTTCAACCATTTTAATGTCTGCATTCATTTATGTGGCCCAACCCTTACAATGTCTGCAATCATTTAGGTGGCCCAACCATTACAATGTCTGCAATCATTTAGGTGGCCCAACTATTACAATGTCTGCAATCATTTCGGTGAAACAACCCTTACAATGTCTGCAATCATTTAGGTGAAACAACCCTTACAATGTCTGCAATCATTTAGGTGGCCCAACCATTACAATGTCTGCAATCATTTAGGTGAAACAACCCTTACAATGTCTGCAATCATTTAGGTGGTTCAACTCTTACAATGTCTGCAATCATTTAGGTGGCCCAACCATTACAATGTCTGCAATCATTTAGGTGGCCCAAGCATTTCAATGTCTGCAATCATTTAGGTGGCCCAACCATTTCAATGTCTGCAATCATTTAGGTGGCCCAACCATTACAATGTCTGCAATCATTTAGGTGAAACAACCCTTACAATGTCTGCAATCATTTAGGTGGCCCAACCATTACAATGTCTGCAATCATTTAGGTGGCCCAAGCATTTCAATGTCTGCAATCATTTAGGTGGCCCAACCATTACAATGTCTGCAATCATTTAGGTGAAACAACCCTTACAATGTCTGCAATCATTTAGGTGGTTCAACCCTTACGATGTCTGCAATCATTTAGGTGGCCCAAGCATTACAATGTCTGCAATCATTTAGGTGGCCCAAGCATTTCAATGTCTGCAATCATTTAGGTGGCCCAACCATTACAATGTCTGCAATCATTTAGGTGGCCCAACCATTACAATATCTGCAATCATTTAGGTGGCCCAACAATTACAATGTCTGTAATCATTTAGGTCGCCCAAGCATTTCAATATCTGCAATCATTTAGGTGGCCCAAGCATTACAATATCTGCAATCATTTAGGTGGCCCAAGCATTTCAATATCTGCAATCATTTAGGTGGCCCAAGCATTTCAATATCTGCAATCATTTAGGTGGCCCAAGCATTTCAATGTCAGCAATCATTTAGGTGGCCCAAGCATTTCAATGTCTGCAATCATTTAGGTGGCCCAACAATTACAATGTCTGCAATCATTTAGGTGGCCCAA